TTTTCCTGTACGGGTTACCGGTGCATTCAAGAGGGAGAAACAGAAAGCAACACAAAGGACTATTCAGCATCTTAGCTATAAATCCTAGTGGGAAAGAGAAGTGTAATTGTAACTTCAGGAATACGCTTCCTTCACTGATGATGTTAAGGAAACCCGGAGAACTTCAGCAATCAGATTACAGTGTATTTATAGAAGAATTGTCAGCCATCATCACTCTGAGCAGCCAGGGTCATGTCTAACAAACAAATTTAATGGCCTAACATGGTGAAAACAATGGCTCTGAAAAATAAAACACTTCCTAGCAATGAAAACAGTCAAATATTGTGAACAGACCGTGTCCTGGGCTTCCCAGCAGTGTCTCTTCCACCTCTGTTCACGCATTTTAACTGCAAGGCCCAGAAAGGTGATACAAGCACCTGTAATATTGCTATGTGCAAGGATACAGAGAGATGACTGTAAGCAATTACATTACCGCGCAGGTAAGGCAGCTGTGGTCACAGCAGCCTGATCTAATGCAGTGTGTCTTACGTTTCCAGAGAAGATCACCTTCCACTTGAAGTTGTCCTAAGCAGAGTGTCAGCAATTTCTGTCTGCCCTTCAGTGAAGCATTCAGAGACCAAGGTCTAGGTCTTCACTGAAGAACAAAGATGTCAGGGCTGGTTGGGTAGTTTTTTAGGTTTATTCTGAGAGTGTAGGTGAACTTGATAAGCTGTAAACTTAGTTAAGGAAATTATCTACAGGATTTGACTAGAGCATGAGTGTTAAGTCACTTGAGACTCTGGAAAAACAAACTCATGACCCTTCCTCCAATGTGAGGCAAGAGAATAGGATGGAGTGATAAAACGATCTTTATAGAGGTCCTCATGCCGGGTAGTCCTTTTCTCTAGGGTTAAAAAACAAACAACAAAAAACCCCAGGAGAATAAATTGTGTGTCTGTTTGACACAGACCTGAAAAATCCCAGCATTATCAACAGAAAAAGAGGGAGAGTGTCCCCTGCGCGTAGCAGGGCCAGGTAACTGCACGGTGTTCATTATCCTTCAGATTGATACGTACTTTCTTGATAAAGCCTATCAGTCGATAATGCAGACCAAGAAAGTTTATTCAGCACAAACCTCAGAAAAACAGCTTCTATTATATAGCCTTGGAGGAATGAAATTACTCATATGCTGCTGGTAGCACATTTTAAAAAAACCCACAAGTTATTTAGTACATATTATATCGCACCACGTCATGTCAGCTATTTTTCTTAGCTAATGTAGAAAAGCACACACATTAAAATATATTTCCTTCTTTAGTTTACATAATCAGAACAGAACACCTTTTACTTTCCTGGGAAAGAATTGCTCATTTCTATACTGGGCACGGCTGCCTCATGACTTCACAGCCAAATCACCCTTTGAAATCTGTTTTGGTGCCACTAAAACACAGGAGAGATCAAAGAAGATTAAAAGGAATGGCAATTAGCAATTACTCAGGAGCAATTACTCCTTCTAGTGACTCTTCCAGGACACAGAGCTGCTGAGCTAGCCAATGACAGCAGTAAATAAAACCTATAATCTGTAACCACCCTGTTGGCCTGTCTCAACAGGCCAAAGTTAGATAATTCAACAGAAAGCATCAAAACCACTTGTGTCTGCTACAGCAATTCCAGGTGCACCGAATGTCACCCTTCTCCTCCCAAAACCTGTCTGTGCAAGTGTCCTGAGAAGACATGAAAGGAATGACAGCATCCTAAACATGCAGTCTTGAATGCCTCCCAACCAATGTGGGTCAACATCTGATTTTAACCCACCATCACCGCTGCTGCCAGCAGCATCTCAAGAGGAGCTGCTGCCAGATGCATTTGACCACCTTCCTTGTGCCACTATTAAGGACCGAAAGGATTATTTAAAAAAAAGCCCCAGCAACAGTAAAACTCTGTATCCTATCAGATAGTTACAAAACAGCAGATAAAAACTTTTGCAGCCAGCCCTGACAAGCATATTTCCCACAAACATAAAGCAGAGATTCCACCTCAGTTGATTTCCTGACTTTTTTTTTTTTTTTCCTTTCCTTTTAGTTTTGACAGGAGGAGGCCTCTGCCTGGCCAGAGGACACACAATCATTTTCTACATCCTTCCTCTTAGGTGGATCAAATCCAGAACGGTTGCAATGGAAGTGAAGTTTCCTGTTCCCCTAGACATCTTGCAGTTCTCTCAACAGGCAGTAATACAGGACTTCCAAAATACACACTATAAAGACTAGATCTGCCCACAAACATTCTCTACAACAAGATGGAGAAGAGCCACAGTAGTTTTTCTTTCATCAGCAGTCAGAAAAAATGAAGGAAGGAATTTCCACTATGTGTCTGTAGTATAAAACAGTGGATCATATTCCACCTTCATCCCCAACACTTTCATTCTTCACAGCACAGAGTCTCCCTGGACTAATATCAACATAAAACTTTTACCATGAGGCAGGCTAAAGCTACGCACAGCAACAGAGACTGGGGAAAACCAGGCTGTTCATCTTGTCACTAGCTTACAAGAGCCACAACATGTTCTCCTTGATTTCTCTCACACAATGCTTTCAAATTAAATTTGCTATTAGATCTACAAATCATCACAGGAGGCCTGTGTACATCCTCCTCTTTCCACTTACCTGCACAGCAATGGTGAAATAGCAACTATTTGAACTTCTGCCACTTTCTGATGCATCATGCAAGAGAAAAGACAAGTCCCTGAAGATGGTCATGTTGACCTGGCCTTTTTTGTGGGCCAGAAGGCTGATATCTCTGTTCACACACCCTGCCTCACTGTTTCCTACCAACAATTATAAGGCAATTCTGCCCAAAATGCAACACACAAATAGGCATCTTCAGAGGAAAAGAATCCCAAACCACACACGGTCAATTGGCCCAGATGTCTTCATTTTAACATGAACGCTTTCATGCCATTTCTTTTCTCCTCCTCACGTCTTCACCCCACCACAATTTACCAGCAGCAGAAGCAGCAGCTAGGCTAAAAAAAGGGCAAGGAAAGAACAACATACATACTGAGATGACACAAAGCGACAGGTAGAGAAATCCCTAACTGCAAAGTTCCAGTTATTTGTCACATTAGATTTTGATCTTTATTTTTCTTTAACTGAATTCAGTTTCCATTCAAAGTTTGAGATCAGTCACATCCAGCTAATTGTTGTCAGCCTTCATTTCCAGTCAGTTAACTAAATGCATCTTCCCCCGTTCAGCAGAAAAGAGCTAAAAAAAAAATTTAAAAATTAAAATCTTCACCAGAAACCTGACATCACTCACTTCCACTTTTCCTGCACTCTTCAGTTCTCACTGGGATCCATCTCACATGAGCGTGTTTGTGCAAAATGGTGTGTGGGTGAGGCGGAAAGACAAAAGCACAAGAAAAAACCCACCCTAAACCCTTGCAAACTGTCAGCTCATCCGAGGGCTGTGTAAAGCAAAATGCAGCTCCAAGCAAAGGTGGCTGAAACGTGGCAGTATCTAGAAGGAAAAAAATCACCTTCAGCTGTAGTGACGCAGAAAGCTGGATTGAAATCTGCTGATCAGCATGCTTTTGAGCGGCGTTTGGAATCCGTTACGGGCATGATGCTGCCTCTGGGGTGGGGAGAGCTTTACTTTTAAGCTGTTCTTAAAGGTTAGGAAATAAAGACAAGAGCTGTGTGTGTGCTTGCAGGGACTGGTTCCTTGCCTATGCAGAGCACATGGACTGATTCCAGCTCTGTCATCCCACAGCCAGGAACCATGAAATTAAAGGAGAGCTTGACAGACCTGTTTGATCACCTGTGACAGTTTGCCCCACAAATCTCCTTCTCTGTTGTACCCCAAAAGAGAGGTATTATTGAACCCCCACATCTCCACAGAAGTAACACGCAATTCCTCATTAATTTTACCACCAAATATTATCCACGTATTTGTTACTATGTCCTAAAGAAATTAAACGAGACATTTCTGGTTTTCAGCTGTGGTCACGTAGAGTACATTGAGATCAAGACATGGGCTCTTCGATAACCTCCCTCCTGGCAGGAGAGCCCAGCCGATTATCTCAGGGCTAGATGAGAATAGTACCCAACACTTCAAAGGAAGGTGCAAGAAAGCTCATGAGTAATAACTGCTGATTGTTTGCCACATCCAGCTGTGGCTTACAGTCTCTCTAACTTTTACCCAGTCTAAATTTAAGCAATGGTTTGAGCTCTCAAAACAACCTTTCCTGCATCAGTGCCACAAAGACTCCTGCTGAGCTACAGATTTCATAAGTAATGAAATAGGCAGTTTCAATACTAAAACAATAAAAGTTCAAAAGGTACTTTGAGGTAGTAAGTTAAGCAACATATGAAAAAGTAAAAGCCATCACTTTCATGATGGAAAACACAAGACTATAAACTTTACTATTATCCTTTTGTGCAATTCAGTGTTTCGTTATGCTCCCACATCCTTAGAAGTTATGGTGGGAAAAGCAATAGAAGGGGAAATTATGCCCCAAATATTTTGCAGCAAGAAAATTTGTACTGGAAGTAAGGCAGAAAAAGTACAGCCGAAGCATCTCTGTGCTTGGACTAAACAGATTCCTCTGCTTTTTGAGACAGCAGTTCTCAGACTGAGTGTACTGATGTGCAGGACCCACAGCTCCAGCGTGGCCCACACACCAAGTCATGTGTCTGTCAAATGATCTGGGACACAATACAGTGTCACTGCAGAACTAGCACGTATTTGAACAAGGCAGAGTGAATTTCTACTGGGTAGCACCCTGGGCAACAACAGGCTGGTTCAATGGATGGAACCAGAAAGCTAGATTTACTGTACTGTTGGATTACAGCTTCGGCTGGATGTAACTCCTTGCTGAAGTCTCAGAGAGACAACCCATCTTAGCAGCAGCCAGTATTAAGCAGATATCAATCAGCTCAAGAATCTTCCTTGTTTTGGTTACACAGCACAAGAACACATAACCTCAATACAAGCTGTGGTACGCACTGTGCACCTTCACTCACCTCTTTCAGTTCCTGTGCAACAGAATTAAGGCGTTCATTTTCAGACTGGGTGTTGGCAAGGACATTTCTGAGCTGCTTCAGTTCTGTCTGCAACTCCATAACCTTCTTCATGTAGTACTCTTCCTTGGTAGCTGATTCCTGAATCAAGGTCTCCTCTCTGCTCTCTCCATCTGCTGCAACCTTCTTGTGGTTGGTATGGGCCTGCCCAAAAGCCTAGGACAGTCAGAAAACAAATCTTTTATTAGTAAACCCAGAATTTTGCATAAGTAATTTTTTTTTTAAATAGTTGAAACTATTGACCCTCATATTTCTTTGATGCAAAACAATGCAACCTTTTTTTACACCATCCTTTTCTGGGATCAGACCTTTAAATGTTATCAAGTGGTCAAGGCTTTTGAAAGTAAGATGCAGCACCCAAACACTGTTTTGCGATGCACAGGATACTTACATAGAACCTCATATAAACCCTCGTGGGAGGGACCCTGCAAGATAACCTGACACTTTTGCATTCACATATTCTCTATAGTTGGGTCAGACTCACTTCTGCAAAAACTGAATCACTGAAAACAGATTTAGCATTAGCAGCCTGTTCCATTTCTTTGGCTGGGAGCACACTTACTGCTGATCCAGCTATACCAAAGAAACATATCATCCCCCTCAGCTGCTCATTGCTAGAGATTACTGCCCCCTCAAACCTGCTAACCCACTGCAGCCATAAGCAAGCGAGGTTAGCAGGGCTACTCCGTAACCAGGTTAAGCTCACGTGGGTCATTCTGTCCGAAGTAGGTCAGCAGACGCTCACCCCACCAGCTCTGCTGCCTGTTCTTGGAGACGTCATCGCTAACAGCGTGCCAGTGAAGGGGCTTAGAGGCAGGTCACAGATCTAACCTCTTCAGCACAGCATGCCTCTGTTGAGACCTGACATTCTCAAGTTTTACCTCCTCCTGCTTCTTCCTGGAGGCTTTCATTTTGCTTGAAACTCCACGAGCTGGTGCTCCTAGCAGCGGTGGTCTCCAACACACAAGCAGGCTGCCCGTACAGACCTCCCAGCCGCTGGACTGCAGCCTTTAAGAAAGCCGTCAGTGGCTTTTACTAATAGATGTTACAAAGCAAAGAGTAACATTTTAAGTATCCCATCCAAGATATATTTGGAGTTTTCGGGTGCTGCAGCATCTATTGGGATGCCAGTGTGCATACAGCAGGTTGCCAGAGCCAACGTTAACAGCAAGCATTAAGCCAGGTCAAGGACAGATCAGCATCTCATAAAACTCCTTGTCTAGTTATGCATTACATTTCAATTAATCATCTTTTGCTAGCTCTTCAGAAATAACTGTCAGCACAGAAAAAAAATCTGCTTTGAAGAGAAGCACATTTCAGTATTTTATTACTTGTGTATATTAGACCAGATGTGGTCTTAATAGTGCAGTAATTATTGAATATACCAGGGCTGAAACAGATGACTGAATGTGCTAGCTCTTCCTACAGTTAAAGACATCTACATATTGCTCCCACAGTTAAAGACATCTGCATATTGCTCCTATCAGATTAAATTTTATTTCAGATAAGCAAGTCAGAGATACAGGAGACAAATATCCATTGAAGAAATTCTAGCCAGATTCACTGAGATGACCCAAGGGAAATTAAAAAGCGTCACATTTCAGACAGAAAGTAAAGCGCCATCTGTGCAAGTCCTTGTCAAATGAGTTTCAACAAAGCAGCTTAAAAGCCTAATACCTAAGATCTCCATAAATGTTAAAGGCATAGCAAAAAACATGCAAGCTTCTCAAACACAGTATCTTTTTTTTCCCCATAAAGAACAAAGATCCACCTTTTACAGACCTGCATTTGTTACAAGTCTCTGACACACGGAAGGGGACTCGGGATATCCCTTTGCCCACTGAAGTGGCACCATTTTCTTGGTAGCGTGATGCCAATGCAGAGCACGCCGAAGCTCAGGGTACTCAAAGCCACCTCTGATCAGCCAGACAGCAGAGTCCAAGCATGATTCAATCAAGTAATTCAGTAATACCGCTAAGGGAGAAATTCTTGAGAATAGTGACTGATTTGCTCTTAAAACATTCGATGCAGATGCTAGGCCTTGGGTTTCTCTAACAACTGATGAGAGAACGTCATCGTTTTGTAGAAGCCACTATTGACAGGGAGTATTTTAACACAGCAAATGGCATAGCAGATGAGATTGGGCTTTTTTTTTTTTTTTTTTAAATCCAATATCCTGTCTTCTACAGAGGCTAATGCCAGATGCTTCAGAGAAAGGTGCAAGAAACCCCATAATCTCCCAGAGCTGGGGACTGCCTTAAGCCTTGAAGCAGGATGCTTAATGTGTATCTGGAAGGGCTATTAACATTGTTACCCATGTAAAATATCCCCTTATTTCATGGGTTTATGCATTTTTGGCCTCAAAATCCTACAGCAATTACATTCTGTATTTTAAACCATACTCTTACATGACAGTTTTTTGTCAGTTTACAAGTTTCCCACATTTCCATAAGAGAACATTTTTTTGTCAGAGACGTGAAGGTGTGTTGTTATTCCATGATCCCCTGTCAATCACTCATTGTTTTCAGAGACTTCCATCACACGCCTCTGTTCCCTCATGAAGGTGAGGTGAAGTTCAGTAAGTTATCATCACTTTTCCGTTAAGAGGTTTCTTCCATGTCCTAAGACAGTCAGACTCCCTTTTTAGAAACTGCCTTTTGTTATGGCTTGGCCCAAATGGCAAGACTAACCCAACTGACCAGGAACAGCAGATGTCAGCTCACATAGACCAACTGCAGAAACGAGCTCATGGATCACCCTTACCAAAGGATGCTGCTATTCTTTGTGGGCTCCAGTTATTTCTGCACAGCAAGGCTGTTATTTGCTCTCAACCAGCAAGCTTGTGAAGTTTCAGCAGAAACCCTGCCATTATCATGATGGTATTACTGTCCCAGGTCAGGACACAGGTGCAGAACCATAAGCGGACACTGACACTACACAGAACACAAGAACTCTTTTTAGAAGACATGGTCATCAGGACAGGCAGCCTGGAACAATTCCATCTGGGTGGATTTATAAGGGAACACTTAAAAAGCACCTCCTTTCTAACCAAGCTGCATTATCTCTCTTGTACATACTTTGAAATGACCTCATACATTCATGTTACAAACCATTTTTATAATTGCAACAGCCTATGTGAAACAGGAAATTTAACTGTAACAAAATTGTGCAAAATTACAGGGCAATGCAATTACCTTCCATGGCTACAGCCCAGGCCTGTTTTAAATCAAGCTATTACAAGGAAAACTGACTTTTTACTGATATGCAGGAAACCCATAAACCTTCACATACCCAGAAGTCCAGCATCTTACCCATCCACTTTTGCTTCAACATTACATGAAACACAAATAGAAGTCAAAGTTACTCAGCTCTTCCTCCTCTTCCAAAACCTCTATTTCTATTGACTAAGGTACCAAAACAGGGAAGAAAACTGTTCATGGTTATATAAGAATTATACTCTTTGGAGTATAATCTCTTCACAGAATAAATGAGTTTCTGACAACTCATTTGCACATACCTCGCTGGACAGGGCTGCAAAGCATCATGTTCTGCTGAACAGCTGCCTCAAGGAATTGCAACAAGACACTATCAAGGTTCTCTTCTTTCAGATTTCCCAAGGTCAGGCGAAAAGCAAAATCAGAGAGTTCATGAACCAAAATGCTATCTTGCTATTTGGTCAGCTAGATGCACTCATCAGTACATTGGAAAACACTTTACACTACTGCACAAAAGGTACAATTAGCTTCCATTTCTCTCTTCAGAAAGCTGCATGAGACACAGACCGGAAATCGTCCCTTCATTTTAACACCATCTGAAACCAACCAAAACCAGCCTCCACCCCAAACTCACACAACCTCAGATTCTGTACAGCCATTGAAGTGACGCTGGGGAGAGCTCTTTCGGAGCTAGAGCAAAACCAGTACAACCTCAAATCCTCTACTGCCTTCTGCAAAGAGCTGGTGTCCCCAAAGTCCTGCTGAGATCTGACACTAGTCCCCGTGCTGCACAGGGACTGCCAGAGGCTCTGGGGGCTGCCCCGCGCCCCCTCCCTGGGCACTCTCCGTACCTGCTGTCCTACCTAGCGTGCAAGTCGAGGCACGCACTGAACAAGAGCAAGGATGTAAAGGCAAAGGAAAAGCCTCAGAGCTGCTTAAAGCAGATGCACTGACAAGGAAAGAGTCACAAAAATCCCATCCTGCCCCCTGCCCAAATGTTACAGAGGAACAAACAGCAGTAATAAGATAAGAGGATCTCCCTCTTACTCGGTCAAAATGATGGGGAAGCTCCTGTGGCATGGAAGAACACACCCAAGAAAACAGAAAACAACAAAAGTATTTCAGTGCAGTAGTTTCATAAGATAAGATGCTTACAAATTCATTTGTCATCTAAAACTGAACTAAAATGTTCTCCATTTAAAGAACTGGGGGGGCAGGGAAAGACAACTGCTTATACATGATTTGAAGGACTAAGAAAGAGGGAGGAAAATCTTAGAAGGGGCTCAGGGCTCCATAATACAAATCAACTTCTGGACAGTATGTGTCATCCTAGTAACATTTAAAATTTTATTCCTTCAGATCAAAACAACCCACACAACTTCGACTGGTAACAAACATGAAAAACTTGGGGGTTTATATATTTTTTATATATATGTATTTCTTAATTATTATTATTCCCCCCCCAAAAAAAAAAGTTTGCTAGTGTAATTCTTCAGCCTGAACACAAGCCAAAATTATCTTTTTTTAAAAAAAATTTACCTTTTTTTCGCTTTGGTCAGCTTATCTCACATTCTTCATTTGTTATGACAGAAACAGTTGAGAATTAACAAAAGAAAACACAACATATTCCAAAACATGCATCAGAAACCAAGGTCAGATTTTCAAGGAGATGCAAGTACTTGCTTAACCAGTTTATACATAGCCTAGAGCCAAGTACTGGGCACTGGTTATCATTCCACACAACCTCACTGAGCTTGCTAATGCCTCTTCATACACAGGACAATAAAGGATCATTTTGTCCTTCTTGAAACAAGCTGTCTGCTGTTTCATCACAATGCTGAAGTAAGTACACAGCTTATTCTTGGGAAGAAAAAAACCCCACAAAACTCTCACATACTGATTGCTAACCCCAGTTGGTCATGAGTTACTAAACAG